AAGATCCCCTTCACTTACTAGCTTGTTAAATAAGACATGAAAACTAAATGAAAATTATTTTCCCAATACCTGATAGATAAACTGAAGGGTAAAAACAACAAAAAAATTCTTAGTCCAGTCTTAGTGCATAAAAAATTAAGTATACAATAAGTCTTCATGTGGCTAAACAATTTTAAAACAACAGACAACATTCTTGCTCCAGGAAAGTTCCTTAGGATTTTATCACCAGCTTCAAGAAATCTAAGATTTCACTTGATTTTGCCAACATATACAATATGCTTCTCCTGGACAGCTAAAATTCTGGAAACAAAGTTGTAAATTAATAAACCTTATTAATAATTTTGCAGTAGGAATAAGGACGTTGCACAGAAATTTTGCGGTGCGGTTTTCTGCACTGAGATTGCAGCGGGAAGTCCTGTGCCTTGTTTTGATGGCAGTGAAGTTAGTGATTGCGCAGCAAGGGATACAATCAGCTAACTACACTGCCTACAAACCAAGCACTACTCGTGTGATGGGGTCATGGCATTCAAACCTAGAAAAAAAGAAAACACTTCTAATAATTATATTAACATATTCTATCTCCTCAAATGCTGTTAAAACAGCAAGCAATTGACAGTAATGGAAAACATTGGTCATATCACCCTTAGTGTTACCCTTCTAAATCCAAAGTCTTTACGTCACAAATTAATTGTTCTTAATAATTAAAAATTGCAGTAGATGCATCACAGAGATCATTCGCAGGGCACAAAGGAAAAGCAATGAAATACCCACGCTGGAATTAGTGTAATGACCCACAATGGAAATGGGAAATGGGGGAAGCCTTGATGCACAGTCCTTGCTGCACGAGTGTGGACTAAGTTTCACCAATAAATGCCTTATTGTCAAAATGCCCAAAAAAGATTTCAGGACTTACCCTGGAAAAGCTTACCTTGTAACAGTCCTAATAAGGGCTGCATTCATGATGAAATGCTTCAAAAGATTTAACAGAAAGGGAGAAACCTCTAGCTTCTTCACTCTTCATTTCCTTCCCTTCTCCATGGCTCGCACAGCCGCCTATTCCCTGAGCACCCGGCAGTCTTCCGCTGGCAGAAGTGCACCTGGGGATGGTTCCTTAGGTGGCCCCTGGGTGTCCCATCTCTTCCTCTGGGACTCCTGGGTTGAAGTGTCTCCAGTTTGGGCTGTGGGTCAGCCACACGCTTGTAACCTTTGTGTACGCTCTGTCGTCATGGTCACTCAGCTGGGGCTTGTGCGTGGAGACTGGACCGTGGCTTGGAAATGTGCAGATGGTTCTGGCCATAGGAAGCTTTGTTGCAAAAGAGGTTTCTATGGGCAAAGTCAATACGGAGCACACACCGAGTTTCCGCCCTGCTCCCATGGACCAATGGCTACAGATGGTGTCACGGACACTGAAGGTGATCCAGGCTTTAGTGTCACATGCGGCAGCCCAGGCACATGTCTGTCATCCCTCACCCACAAAAGTCAAATGGCTTGTAGAGGGAAGATTGCTACTAGCAAGCTGCGCTTTGTTGGGTTAGTTCCATGTAGTCAGTGCTTTAAAGCAAGAAAACTGCAAAAAATTCTGCAGGAGTGACTCTTGCCAGTACTGTGTTAGTGAAACAGTGTTTGCTCTTGGTGTGACCTGCAGTTACTAGAGAAACTGTTTTTTTTTCCCTTTGTAGTTCATGCCTAGGCTTGCCTGGTGACCCAGGAGACCCATAATTTAATCTAGCTAAGAATGCTTGTGCTGAGTTCAGAGCCTGATCTGAATCGCACTGATGTCTTTGGACAGATTTCCATTGATTTCAGTGAGCTCTGGATCAGTCCCATGAATGTTCAGGCACTGTAATGCAGTGGTTTTTAGTGGTTTGGTTCTTTAGTCTTCCTAATAAGGATTAAAAACCAACAGCACAGTTTAACAAAAGGCACAAATATCTACTCATTTATCTCATGCATCATGTCAGTCAGAACACTTGGCTCTTCATCAAGTTTTTTGCAAAACCTGCTGGGATGCTAACAGTTTCTGTTGGGATGCAAGTGGGAATGAATGGGAGTGTAATTTGTTGACTGTTACTTAACTGATCTCACGTTGGGATAGAATGTTCAAATTTTGGTTTCGACATTTTGTTTCTTAGCTGCTTACTATCCAAACAGAGTACCCAGAGCTATGTTTTCCACAAGTCAGTAACAACTGGCAGGATTATGAAGGATTCGAGTTCAATGAGTCTGTCTATTTAAAAGAACCAGTTTCTCTTGTCACTGAAATGGGAAGCCAGAAATACTCTCTGCTATTCTGGTTTCTATGCAATTAACAGAAATACTTTTGAATTCCTGCATGGTATTAAAAATACCAAGTTAAAACGTTCTTAGAACTTTACGTGTGTGTCAATGATAACCTTAATAATTAGAGCCAACTGGACGAAATGCCAAGAGCACTGCTTAAATCTCCCTGTGTTTGTTGTTATAAATGTGTGCAGTTTGACCTGGGTTTTTCCTACTAACATCCAAGAAAAAACCTTATTGCATGAGTGATTGTATTGCTGTAATCTGGTTTCTCAGGTGAGGAGTTTGTTTACTGCTGACTTGCAGTTTGTATGTTAACTAGGAGAACAAGTAACTCAATAGAAGAAGGTGTTGCAGGGATTCAGACTTCCCTTTGATTGTTCTTTGTGAAATCTAGTCACTTTACTCTTTTGTCACATAATTTCCTAACTCACAGGGCCTGCCTGGACAAGTTGGAGAAAGCAGTAAGGCAGGAGACAGCTCAAAGTCCCATCAGCTGGTGGGATCCAAATCAGCTTGGCATTTATTGAGGAAAAGACAGTAACTGGATGATTCCTGAGACTAAACTGCACCAGAATCAGATCCCACATGGGAACTATGATCAAATAATGGACTCCAGGGCAGCGGGTGGCCTCCCTGTGATCCCTGCTGCTCTTTTGTAGTGGAAATATTATTTCAGCCTTGACAGTTTGATATGGAGAATAAAATTGATATTGAGAATAAGGCATGAAAATCCAGTTTGCCTGTTCAAGAATTCTCATCTGTTGCCCAGAGCTCGTTTTGGTGTGCTGGATGCAACCAGTCAGCAGTGAGTAAAACTCTCCACGGGCTGCACAGAAAGAGGCCGACCAATTCCTAAAGGACACGATATGGAAATTCTTCCTGGCAATGTGTAGCCGTGGTTTTCTGTTGCCCTACAGCATTCTCCAGAACACATAAACAGGCTGCCATTGCCCTCTTATTTAATATGTGAAAGAGAAGGAACGACTCGTGGTTTACGTGTGGAACAAAATCCTTACGTGTTATCGCAAGCACCCAAGTGCAGTGCAGAGCACATCATAAGGGTTCTTCTGTGGTCGCACCACTGGTGAACTACGTTAAAGCTCAACTGCTGACTTTACCGAGTGCCTTTTCTGAAGATTCATTATCTATCTCAGACTTTGATTTCTCTTTCATTTGAGTGGTTATTGAAACGTCCCCGTTCGTTAAAGAAGCATTTTGGTATGTGAGAAAAACAAAGAGAAAAATTTTTAATTATTATTTATTTATTACTCATTCATTAAAACCAGAGTTTCTACTAAACGCCTTGGTAAGTATTTTTTGTGGTCAAAAAAGAAACTATAAAGAGAAATGAACTAACTGTGTGAGTGGAGAAGAAATACAGAAATAGCCAGAAATTCAGGGCCTAGGGTACATTTCTGCATAGATGTGTACTTCTGTAAATTTTTGCTTTCATGCTTTATTTTTGTTATCCCATCTTGTGCCACAATCTATTCACAAGACTGAAATCTAAGCACTTGAATCATTTGACTGCAACATCTACAAAATTAAGAGCCAGTTTAAATACTCAGATCTTTTTAACTTAATTTGATCCTTTGTCTTGACAGTTCCTGGTGTATGAGACTGGAGTCGCAGCTTCTGAGACAGCAAAAGGTAAAAGAAGCACATCAGCTATTCTCCTGAAGCTTTAAACAATGAAGTACTCACATTTGAGAAACTGCTTGTGTATCAACTCTTTAACAGACCCATTCATGCTCAGTATGAAACTCCTCAAAAATGAAACAAATCTATGCGAATAATGTGAACATCTATATAAGCTACTAGGAAGGTTAATGTTATGATAGAATCATGTGATTTTCAAAATAAATATCAAATGTGGGGGCTTCATAAGGAAAGTAACTATGTTGTGTAAAGTCTGCTAGAAGCAAATGCAAATGTAATAGTAAATTAACAATATGGTGCTATTTTTATAATGGTGAGTATTTCACTGATATTTATAAGACTGACTGATGGACACAACAGAATACAGTACTGAATCAATTAAATAGATCCTAAAAGAAAGAAATGATACTGGAATAAACCCCAGTAGATTGGAAATAGCTTTGAAACCAGCACGATAGTCTTAACAGTGCCCACCTGAACATTGTTACATTCCACAGAGCCACATGATTTCCTGTTCTATATAAGCTCTGAGGAAGCTCTACTAGAGGAAGAGCAAGGGAGGAGTTGGGTGTTGGGATTTGCTTCTTGTGTAAGTTATAGCACTAGGTTCTTATAGCACTAGGTCTGTTTTCCTGGTGACTTTTGGAGCCTGCTTTTAATGTGTATCTCAGGTTTACAACGACTCTGATCTGAGAAGGTAATATATGTGGTCTTCATTGTATCTAAGTGTGCTGTGTAATTTTAAGAGCTGCTGGTTGTTGAATGTAATATAAAAGTTACAATAAGGAGTATCATCTATTAAACATTTTTTTTAATGCTCTGTTATATTGCTTAGTGTGAGTGCCTTCTAGTAATGCATTAAGTTGATTTTGCTACCCAGAACTAAATTCAGTAGTTGTTTGACGGTTGGGCTTATCTAGGCTCTACCTGTCATGGCTTATGGAGGTTTTACTGTCTCTCCTGGGAACTTGATAGTACATTAATGTTATTAACTCTCGTGTCTTATCTCTACTGGTGACTATCCAACAGCTAAACTGCCTTGTGCACTTCAATTTAAAATGAAAGATGAAATTGCAGCCACAGTCTTCTTCATCACAAGGCTAGTGAAAAGGGAAGACAAGTTGAGCAAGCATAAAATGGAGAAATTTGCAGCTAAGCTGACAACAATACTGTTTGAAAAGTATAAGAATCACTGGTACTTAGACAATCCATCCAGAGGACAAGCCTTCAGGTAAGAGCACTCTTAGTAGAAGAGGAGGAGGAAATGCAGCCTTTGCATGGTATTCAAGATGCAGTGAGGGCCCAGAGCCCTTAAACTGGAAATAAGTGATACAAAATTGGAAGAGAATCACTTAAGTTTGAGGAAAGAAGTGCTATTAACTGGTAAACACACACTTATTTTGAAAATAGTTTCACAGTGTGTGCCTTTGTAGATATGACCAGAGAGCTGAGGTGAAAATCTTATAACAGGATGCATCAAGTGTCTTGAGTAGCACTCTGACTCCTTGATTTCTTGAATGCAGAATTCAAGTGGTCTTAAACTGGCTTATGGAATTATTGTAACTGCTTTTAATTCTCTTAAGAATTACTGAAGTGAGTTGCTACATAATGTGTTTAAAAAAAAAAGGACCAAAAAAAACCCCCCAGCCAACCCCTGTTTGGTTTAATTATAAATTAGCTTGTTAGGCTAACTTGCTGATTGGGGCTGTAAGTGAGAACTTGCATCGACAGGCTAAATGTGTTGAGAAAATAGATTAGGAACTTAAGTGTACTTTTGTATGAGAAGAACTTGCAGAGTTGCAGCAAAATCTTAAATCCACCTGTGCTTTGTTCTTACCTAGGTGTATAAGGATAAATAAACATCAGAGAAGAGATCCACTGCTGGAGCAAGCTTGTGTGGAGAGTAATGTGGATTTTAATAAGCTTGGTTTGCCAAAAGAGATGACGCTATGGGTTGATCCATTTGAGGTGTGTTGCAGGTGAGTTGAGAAGCTGTGGCCAGTGCATGTGAAGTGCCCTGTACAATCCTGATCAACTCCAAGCCTGTTACTAGAGTCTTACTGTCTCAGGGTGTACTTACTTACTAGAGTTGGCAGACTACTAATAGATACCTATACTGCTACTGCAGAACCGAGTTCTATAAATAGAGTCACTTTCAGATACGGTGAGAAGAACCGTCCCTTCACAATTGCGCACTTCGAAGGGGAGGAGAATCCAGAGCTTCCTCAGCAGATCAGCTATGCTGTTGACAGAGCCGCACTAGACTATCATTCTGGCACTTCTTCAGATGAGGAGACCTTCAGCAAGGAGCCGAAAGCTATCCCTACTGTCAGCAATCCTAACAGTGTCTACCAGGTAAGCGTGTGGCAATGGTACCTGACTCTTGGCAAGAACTAGCATCTGCCCCTCTAGGTCCCCTCCTGAAGGAATGCGATAGATGTAACAACTAACGGCCAGGCTAATGTCCCACCTTTCCCAAATGCGTTTTAACATTATCTCATTTCTTGCTGTCTAGTTCAGTGACTACTGCAAGGCACCCATACAGCCCTGGTCTCAGTATCTTCATAGGAAGACCTACATGACTGATGGCTCGTACTATGCCCAGCACAGGGGTTACAAAGTCTACAGGCCGATAGCTGCTTTCACAGGACCACGTGTTGATAGATACCACTGGATCAATACCAAGCGGTAGATCTGTGGCTGCACCTGTTACAGGCTGTTGAAACACTGAGATATGGTATGGGGTAAAAGCTGGCACTATAGTTTCGTAAAAACAGAAAGCACTTACTGTCTAATCCCTGTGTCTTGCTTTGTACATCTGAATCTTTGGGATTTTATTGTCTTTGGGGTTTTATAGTCTTTTAAATGTTTTATTAATGTTCACATAAGATTGAAAATTAATGTGAGACTACTTGTAAGTCAAAAAGGAAATCAGTATATCAATAAATCTACTCATGGTTGTTTGGTTTGTTTTTTTTTTAAAAAAAAGGCAATCTGATCTGTTATCAGTGCCCTGGAGGGACTTTAAAAGCTTTCTGGCAAAAATCCAAGCAAGTCAAGGAAGATAAAAACATCCTCCAAGTTGCTTGGAATGGTAGTCTGCTTTTTTTCTGGCAAAGGTAGCAAGGGGCAGCTGCCTTGGGAACAGATCATCTATGCATCACAAGCAGAATCACCTCTGGGTTTGCCCCTTGAGTGAAGCTTTGGTATATACAACTGGGAAACTGTCTAGTGGCTCCAGGTAGGCTTTTGCCTCCGGACTATAGCTTAGCAGTCAGAAAAACACGGCTTTTGCCTCTAGGCTGTAGGTCACCTGTCAGAAGAACACAGCCTCAGGGGCAGGAGGAGGGTGACTGTGTGGTGGTGTAGCTTTGTGCAGCTGTAAGTAACACATCACTTTGTAGAAGGATGGAGCTGTTCTGTCTAAGGATGACTAACCTGTTGGTTTGCAATACTGTGGTAACTGTCAGCTGATCTCTGCAGAGGCTTCAGGACATATAATAGAGGGATACGTCAGTTGAAAAAAATTATTTTTTTTTAACACTAAGCAGCCTTAAGAATGATTCTAAATTTTGCTTCTGTTTGTCAAAATGCGAGTCTGACCTTTTGCAATGTTGTTTGTCTTTTAACCACTTGAATATAGCCAGAAACGTCAGTCACTTATGCCTGAGTCTTATCACTTAAATTACTGTATTGCTTTACAGTCCTAATTTAATGGACCTGTAGTATGAAGGCTAAAAATACTCTGTACTTAAAACAAAAAAAACATATTTTGCCTTTAAAGCCTGGGGACAAATGCAAAGGATCAAGTTAGAACCAACTTCTTTTGAGTACTATTACAAGTTTCTGCCTAGAGCTATTTTTTCTTCTAAAGCATGTATTTGTTTTACCAAACAATCTTTCTCCAAACTAGTTATTTCAAGGTAGTGAAAACGCAAGTCTTCATTGCCATTGCTGTTTAAAAACTGGTGTTCATCCTCTATAACACGTGCTAGCTCTTCAGTTAATGCGTCCACTTTATCATCAAGTTCTAAAAGAGATGAATAAGCATAGGTTTCCTCTTCAAAGCTAAAAAAAGGAGAGGAATGGTTAAAATCAAACAGTAAAAATGCTGCTGTTAAAGTGATATCTATAAATGCAGTGGTTAATACCTCCTGGCAAATTCTTACCTTGTTCTCCATCCAGTGCTGCCTTTTTCGTAGCTGCTGGAGGTATGAGGGAAATGCTCTTTATTCTTCACAAGTACCTTTTCACTTAGTGGTTCCTCAAATTTTTTTTGAGCAGGAGGTTCATGTGTAAAGCAATAAGCACAAAAAATAGAGAAAGCACCTCAGTGTTAATTGTAAAAGCCTTTTTACAGACTCTTTCAATATCTCTCTTTGCAGAAAGCCAATGCTGCACCTTTCCAATATATTGAGTACTTTTAGGCTCAGGAGTTTACGATATGTATAGAGCTTCCGCTGCCATCCCACAGGAGTCTGACCTTCCCAACCACTGATTTGGAGAAGGTTTCTATGAGCCAGTTTTTAAACTGCCATCTTGTCACAAAGTAAGAAAATAGGGTCTCATCATCTTTCTTATTACCTTCTCAAAGGCTTCTACATCTGCGAGGCTTTTCACTTTCATCTCAAAAAGCTGGGAGATGAGATTTATGTTGTCCTTGAAGCATGGTTCTTCCTTTAACAACATCTGACTTATCCTGGAAGATTTATCATCCTGGAGAACTGCTGACAGTTGGAGTCTGAGAGAGAATGTTTCACTAAGACAAGCCTCTAATGCCTAGAAAAAAATCCAGCAAGCAAGCTTGTTTGAAAAGCTCGAAGCAGTCAGATGCAATTCTTTACAGCTAACCACTGAATAGAGATATTAGTAAGAGATAGAAAATATATAGAATCAAACAATAGTACTTTATCAAGACAGGTTTTCACTTCTGGAAGCCTATTTAATCTGGAAAAATAACTTCATTGGTCTTATGGGGATTTGATACAGACCACAAATACGCTTCAATGTGCTTAATATGCAGCTGTTAAAGATGAGATCAAGATGAGAAAGTGGTGCCATGCATGAGCAGAATCTTGTCTGGGATACTTGTGTTCTGTTTGTTTCTAGACAATGCTAGTAGTCCTTACCACTCATGAGAAGAGTAGCTTTCAGTGGGTAGCTTTCAGTAAGGGACTAAAATTGCTGTGTGCATTGGGAAAAAGAGATGATAATGGGTATCCCCTGCAATACAAGAGTTCACTTGATTGAAGGTTGAATGGAAGAGGTTGTATCACATCAAGGTACTATGGGAAGAACGCTGCGGTTCCCTTTTTTTTTTTTTCAGCAAATCTGTGTCTGGTATAACTGTGTTCTCCGAGTCAGGACTATGATTATGAAAGAGCATTTTCTGTTTGATTCTCTCATGTGTTGGCCAACTGATGGTTAGAACGGAGTTGTCTGGTTTTATCTTTTTAGCTGTCAGGGGAACTAACGGTATTTCTGAGTTAGTGTTACTTGTATGTGGGCAGGATGTTAATACGTAATACATGATATGGTGGATTTTTCTGCTGTCTTCACCTAAGGTGAAGCAGTGTTCTTTGGATGTTGACTATGAATATTTCTGTGACCAGCCACTGTCCAACTGTAATGGCAATTCAGATAATAGGCAGCTATCTTGTTTCATCTCTCCTTTTGAAATTTATTATTGGAATTTTTATAATTTTGGACAAAGGTGTTATTCCAGCCCCCCCACCTTTTAAATGGTAATTTTTTTATAAACACTGAAATAATGTAATTACACCTGGAACTTATTGACATACCTGATAAAAAAGCCTCAGAAAGGGAGGGTTGGTGTCATGGTTGAAGTCAGCAGCAGCGATATGAGCTAAGCAGTGCACGAGGAGAAGGAGGAAACTTCCTACAGAACCCAGGCAATCCCTTAGAACAAATAATTTGTTCTTTGTCTTCTGAGAAACGAAAGACAGAATATCCTGAACTTAGATGAGGGCATAGCAGTAGTCAACCTAGCTGACACAAATATTCCAATGATTTGTCTCAGTTTTAGGGAAATTCAAAGTCTCAAATTAGAGTTCTGGGGAATATCCGTATACATGAGACAGCAACGTTATCATAAGACTTCACTTAATATTCTATGATGGGAATCTAAAACATTCTTACATTCTCTGTTTCTAGACAGTTTTTAATTTATACAGCAAAAACTTTAGAAAACTTCTCAATGTCCCAGAGTTTTAGAACTTAGTCAGATTCTGTAATTTAACCATAAGAAGTAAAATGTTGATATGATGCTGATTTCTGTAAAGGTGACTTGCAGAGAATTTCATAGAAATGAAAGTGATAGAATTTGGACATGAGAAACTGGGTAACTAGATCTGATTTAATAAATATGCTTTGAATACGACCTGTGCATTAAACATATTCACACTCAGTATCCTAAAGTGCTCTGTTAAGTTTGTGTTCGGATACATACGGAGCATACCATTAATAGCTGGGGGTTTTTTATGTCAGCATTTCTTACTAGAAAGCATCAAGCATCCTATGACTTGAAAAACATTAAACACTTTTCCGTTTTACTTCCTAGTCCTAGAACTTAATGGATATGAAAATATTTCAGTAGCTGGCTAGAAGTGAAGTTGACAAACCTGATAAAAGAAAAGGTTTTGAAAGGCGTTGCCTGTGGCATTGCTAGGAGGTACGCGGGAGGCAACGCACAGGTTAATTTCTGGAGCCTGCAAAGAGATGGGAAAATGCTTCTGTAGGAACTGAGCGTGCACATCAGATCTGCAAAGTAAAAGGGATTAATGGGACATAAGTTCATTTACGTGTCAGCTCTGATTTCCAGTGGGTACCCAGAGACAACAAATACCATATGAGAATGGAGACTGTTTAAAAAGTCCTAGCAAATTGTCCTAGTTCGTCTTGCCAGGTTTTTTCTATAAAGTAACTGAAGGCACAGTCCAGCCCTGGAGCTCTGGCTGTAGTCACCATGATTTTTATGACTAGTTATTTGATACTATCATAAAAGGCCTGGAGAGTTTACTTAGAGTAAAGCCACAGTGTGCTAAGAACTACACATAGAAAATGAGAACCTCCTTGTTCCAAGTCATAAAGGAAATACTGTCACAATATTATGCAGTATGCAAGGATGAAGTAAAGCAAGAACGAACTGATGTGCTCAAGCAAGTTGCCTCAATAAATATAAGAACTGACCATGAATCTTGTGGGATAGAGGTTTAACTTCAAAAGAGTCCTACACTACTGTGGAAAAAACATAAGTGGAGTTTAGTTCCTGGTGTTTGCACATTGGTCATTCTCTACTTGATCTTACCTTATAAGTGGTAGACACTTTGCAGCCTCTTGGCTGAATAATTTTTTTTGGTAACTGTCTTCTTTTGGAAGCACTGGTTACTAAATATCAGTATCTTAAAAACTTACTTCAATGTAACATCTGAGAAACTGCAGGATGGAGATGCCATACTGATATATGACAACCTCTCTTGTAGAAAGGGTTGCAGGATCAACTACTGTTACTTCTCCTTCAGTCCTCAAGGCATCCTGTATACCCTGAGAAGTACCTCCCATTTCTGCAAGAACAGGAGCATTTCATTGGACTAATCAGTTATATAATCATTTTGTTTGCACAAGAGGTAATACTGCAGTACAATAGTATAATATACTGCATTTCTCAAGTTA